GGATGGACGGGTGGATAGATGGACGGATGGATGGATGGACGGATGGACAGATGGATGGATGGATGGCTGGACAGATGAATAGATGGATGGATGGATGGACAGATGGAAGGATGGATGATGGATGGATGATGGATGGACGGATGGATGGACAGGTGGATAGATGGACGGATGGATGGATAGACAGATGGACGGATGGACAGATGGACGGACGGATGGATAGACGGATGGATGGACAGATGGATGGGCAGATGGACGGATGAACGCATGGATGGATGTATGGACAATGGATGGATGATGGATGGACGGATGGATAGACGGATGGATGGATGATGGACAGATGGAAGGATGGATGGACGGATAGACGGATGGATGGATGGATGGATGGATGGACAGACGGACGGACGGATGGACAGACGGACGGATGGACAGACGGACAGATGGATGGACAGATGGATGGATGGACGGATGGATAGACGGATGGATGGACAGACGGACAGATGGATGGACGGACGGATGGACAGACGGACGGATGGATGGACAGACGGATGGATGGACGGATGGATAGATGGATAGATGGCACCCGCCCAGGTGAAATGAGGCTGTTTTGCCAAACACATAATACGCGTGACTCTTACGCCGAAGCGACTTGTATGTTTTTTCCTCTTCATGATGCTTTCATTTTGGACTGATGTGACTTATACTCCGGAAAATACGGTAAACCTAAATGTTTTTGGTGCAAAATATTCAAGTGGAGGAGTTTCACTGTAGAAGAACAGATGTTTGTTTTGTTCGAGGCAACGCAGTGACGGAGCCTGGTTTGGAGGGAGCCATTTTATCCACCAGCAGGAGCAGTGGTGGAGCCAGAGTGGGGGCCAGTGGTGGCTTTGGCCCCCCATAGACTAATCTTCTGTCATCGGAGGAAACTCTACTTTTAAGCAATATCAAAACTAGAAAACATTTTCTTTAAATGATGGCCAGTTGACATATACATATATATTCATCCTGTTGTATACACATGTATAGTGTAGCGGCATCCATCTTGGATTTGACTGCGACTGTTCTTACGTCTAGAAACAGCCACACACCAAAAGGGGAATCGGTGCCTCACTTATTTTCAAGTTGCTCACAAGACAAATGGACAGACGGGTGGACGGACAGACCGAGACCATTTTCTAGTCCCCAATTTGCTCCGAAATGACAATAAAACAGCAGCACAATTGTTTGATTACCTGCGTTATAAAGAACATCTTTCATAAATATGGACGAAAGACAAGATTGGACAAACACCGTGTGGACTGATGTCTGACGGGTGGGGTTGACTTTGAGACTTGTCGCGGGTTCAAATCCCAGCTGCGACCTTTCTGTGAGGTGTTAGCATGTTCTCTCGGTGCACACGTGTGTTTTCTCTGGATACTCCCGTGTCCTCAATAACAACAACACAAAATGCATTTAGATTCAGGAAAGCAAAGCGAGGAATGATCCCTGCCCCCCACCCAATGACACCAAGAGATTAGCACCAGCAACCCACGACCATGCTCGTAAAGCAGGTCCGGATGAACTTCAGGTTCTAGAGCTTGTGTTAGGAACAGCGATGCAGCCTCGACCACCTCGTGCAACTTTACGTTAAGAACCAAACTGGTCACCTGAGAATGAGGGGTACGGACCTGGGACTGGACCTTCACCTCAAACGCACTCGTACGGTCTGTACCTGCGGACGGTGAGCTTCAGAGTCTTGTAGGAGCCTTTGATCAGAGCGATGGCCTCCTGTCGGAACCCGCTCAGCTCCACGTCGTTAATGATGACGAGCTCGTCCCCCAACTGCAGAGGTCGCTCCAAACGGTCCGCCTTCCCGCCCTCCTCCACCTGCAAACACATTTTAGCAAAAACATTCACTAAAAAAAAAAAAGTAGCAGTTTGTAGTTTTTGAGAAGAGTTTTTCTGGACTGGAGTTGAACAGGGAATGAAAGTAAACCTCAGCGTTTTGGTGTCAGATATTCCAGTGTGTAGGAGTTGCACCGTGGAGAAGAACAGAGGGAGTTTTATGTTTGGTTGTTTTTGTGCGAGGCAGCAAATGTTCAAAACTGCCAGTGGCCTAGTTAGACTCAAACCTGTGTGGAAGGACAGATCAGTGTCGCTGGCTATCAAAGTCAGTTAACGTTTTGGTTAGCTTCCCTTACCGCTAATTCGCCAACTAAAGAATTAGATTTGCTAACGCTAAACAGATAAAAAAATTTAAAGAAATATCAGAAGCTAGCGCTAACATGCTAACTTTTATCACCCACAGCTGTCGCTGTAAGACTGTGATGTGACAACATCGTCAGTGAACACGAAGCTTCGACACAACCGGACGTGAGCGGAGATCAAAAAAACGAAAACCACACGCAACACAAACATAGTAGTCTGCCACACCCCTCCCCCCGTCATGCTATGCTAACTGCTAACCAACCCCCACCCTGTTGACAATTGTTGACACTAATGTAGCGCTGTGCTAACCAAAGAGACGAGCGCCCTCCCAAGACAAGTAGCCTAGAAGAAACAATAAAAGATGTGGGACACCATGTGTGAGAGAGTCACGTCCCAGAGACAGTGTGAGCATAGCAAAGATCACTGTGTAGGAATTATGTGTGCAATGTTTCTGACTGTTTACGATGTTTATGAGTGTGAAAATTGTGTTTTCATGTTAGTTTCCTGTTCTGGTTAGGCATTCACGTTAAAGTCTCCGCTCTTGAAATGACCTGCTAACACCTGCTTCAGGTCCACCGGTCCTCCCACACAACACAAGCTGAGATCCACCATGTCCTCGTTGGAGATCGTGACTCCTTTCTAGTGCAAATTAAGAAGAAGAAACTGAAGCGGTTTTCCCACGTAGTGAACGTAAAGGGAACACTAATGTCATCTTCAAGGAAAAGTTGAAGGAACTCCTTAAAGGGACGGCGTCCTCCTCAAAGATGAGCAGAGGACATCGGTAGCTGGACAGAGAAACCTTTTCGTGAACTCCATCATCTTTCTGAGGATCAGTCCAGGTGGAGGTCGCTGGTGAACAATGTTGGCACTGCCCCCGTGGCACAAGGATAAGGGTCTGATGATGGTGGCCATCTTGGATTTTGACGTATCAACCCAGTTTTCGACAGTGACCTTTCTTACGTCTAGATGCAGCCACACACCAAAACAAATGTCGGTATCTCCGTTATTTTTAAAGTTATCCCACTCACTAGAAGAACCGGACAGATGGACAAAGGTATGTCCAAGTTCCCTCTCCGCTCTGGAACGGGGGACAGTTAAACGTAGCACAATTTTTATGCAGTAAACAGCAGGGATTTAAAACCAATACAGAAACTGAAGAAAAAGCATTTTATGTAAAAATACAGTGACGTCTGAGGAATAAAGTAGTTACTAACACTAATACTAATTAATTACAGTGTTGTACACGTACACACAAAAGTTCGGCTCTGTGGAAACGTAACCAACAGTTAATATCTTACCTGTTGTAATTGTCTCTTTGAACGACCCCCGTTTGGAAGAACGGAGTTTAATTTCGACGGCAGTTTGTCGACTTAAAGCGATAATGCTTCCCATCGCCCGGACGTGTTCTCTAAAGCGCTGACGGATCAGCTGACTCCGTACGGAACGTCTGGACGTTTATCTCCAGCTGGTGTTCCACATCAAGGTCACGTTGTTTTGTTGTTCTGTTCGGAGCGAGATAACTAAACTCTCTCATGGCGTTTAAATGTTCGTGGACTCGTTGGATCGGATGTTTCTCTTGGATTCTCACAGCTCACATTTTATCTCGCATATTAAATGTACTCTTTTAATAAATCTTTAGTTCTATGAAGAAGAGCGTGTTTGATGTCTGCTGTAGATTTAACAAAGAGCTCCAGTAACGGCCAGTGGGGGGGGGGGGGTTCCAGGGCTTGATACAGTCTAATTCCTGGATTAACGGTGATCCCTGTACGTTTGAACCTTTAATGGGGAAATGTCTTATTCAGCTGACAGTCTTCACAAGAGTGGCAGCAGATTCACCCTGAAGGTCAGACTATGCAGTGAGCTCCATCTCTGACTCAATAGGCCTCAGTTAGCAGGTTAAAGGTCAAAGGTCATAGCCTCTTCCCTCTAAAAACAACATGGCAACACCCCTTAGGTTTGGAAATCTTCATCCGAAGGAACCACACGACTTCTGGGACAAAACCACACCAGGGGACAGATGTTTACCCAGAATGCACTGCAGCAAACAGCTCCTGCAGCTGTCAGCACGGTGGTGGAGGCTGATGGTTTGGGATCCTGTCAGTCATTATGTTCTGATTCTTGGTCATGTCCTGACGATCCCAGATGTTTGTTCCTTCAGAGAACAAGAACATTTATTGTTTCTTGAAGAAACAAGAATCCAAGTCCAGTTCTCTTTTATTCAAGCACCTGGGGCCCTCTGTGTGTCCCACAGCCCCCACAACCCAGCAGAACCATGACTTGTTGACAGTTTTCCCGTGGCCGACACCGGCGTCCGTCTCTGAAACAATAAACTACACCCATCTGGGGCTCTTCGAACATTAAAACAGCAGCCAAGAATGTCTTGAAGGGCGTGTTGGATCCTCCTCTGAATTACAACATGTGTTTCTTCTCAAAAATAAAACCCCACGCACGGCAGCTCCAACAGCCGAAGACAAAATAATCAGACGAGGAGGACTCGAGGACTGAGACAAGTTTGTTTTAAAGGCATCTACACAAAATACCGTGGCTATGACAACAAAACAACCTAAAACAGGAGTCGTGAGCCGTTTCTGAGCTCTGCAGAGCAGCGACCTAACCGTCCGACATCTACGAGAATAAATATACCCAAATAAGGTCCGTAGAAACACTCGGCAAGAGATCGGACCGTGTGTGTGTCAGTAACTTTGGTATTCCAGCTGAAATTTATTATCCTGCAGATGAACACACATAAACGGAGGTTCAGTCTGTTCCTGCCACGACTGAAACAACACACCTCTAATCAGCAGAGATGGAGAAAATATCCGCAGGAACCGGGGGAGGGCGGTTTAGAGGGGGCTTCTATCAAATAAAAACACTGTTGTTGCTGTTTTGTGTTAATAAATAAATATGAAGTGCATATTTCCAGTGAACAAGACCTGAAAGACCTGGTCTGAAGGTTGACTTCATGTTTGTTGGTGCTAAATGTGGCGTTAAACAGCTGAACGGTCAAAGAAGACTCGTTCTTATATATCTGCTTTAATCTGGGCCTCGCTGGTTTATTACAAATACTTTTGAATTTAGAGAAAATAATAAATGTGAAGCACAAATACTACATTTTACAAGTAGTTGGAAACAATGGATGAATATTATCCACTAATCATGGATGAAATACTACAATTAATCATGAGGTGATGATCTGACAAGAAATATAAATGATGTTTGTTGAGTTTGTCTCCTACATGTTTCATATTTATCAGTTACTTCAGGGCTAACGAGGACTACAACCAGCCCCCATGTTAAAATGATATGGATGAATAGGATATAAGCTCAAATCTTTAAAATATGTTTCTGCGAAACATCATAATGACTAAAAACAACAAATCGTTTTGGATCGTTAGCTAGCTAGCTAAGTGTCTGACTGGAAATTAGAAATAGTTTACATAATAACTAGTTGTTAATTTGTCTTTACTAGACAGACATGGTTAAAAGGTTATTTGGCAAACCCCCCCAAAAATTGCGCATTTCAGTAGTAAAGTATATTAATTCTGGCGTTCCACAAGATTGAGTGTTGGGTCCTGAACATTTTATTTTTAAAAAATTGGGGGTACGTGTCCTATGTTTTATTAGTTTCCAGATGGAGCAAATACTGATTTGTTTTGTTTGCATTTAAGTGCTTCGGGTGGGTGGATGGATGAATAAATGGACAGATGGCCAATTTAAATGGAAAGATCTAAATCAATCCTCATTAAAACAATGTACCCTGAACTCAAACATCCTCTGCGACCTCCAACATGGCCTAAGACTGATTAATAATGTCCTACAACGATGGCAAACAAGCAAACGAGGTCACGCTGGGTCCCAACAACAATGACGTGAAAGCCTGGTTGCGAACAAGTCAATTTTCCCACTCAAAACTCCCAACTGTTACTCCAACAAAGGTTGCATTAATCCACTGAGGAAAAGTTGGCAACCAGGTGAAAACAAGTGGTGTTTTCATCGCTCTTTGTTACGTTTTACAACAGCAAGATTTACACCCAAGCCAAACTAAAACCTCTTTCTTTGCTTCTCCAGCGGCTGTGGGGAAAACGGGGAAGGAAAAATACACTCCAACAGTGAAAGGAAGTAAAGGAAGCAGACATTAGGCCGGTGTTTGGTCGAACACGACAAACTGCGCCGATCAAAGTGCAGCGCACAATAAAAGCAGGATCGTGGTCAAAAGCTCCCAGGAAAACACATTATTCACATTTTTGTCTTATTTTACAACCATTTGGCTTCCAGCCCAGAATATCCTCCACAGACTCACACCAGCTGGTGATTTGCATTTGAATAAAATGAGGCCAGGTTGACTTTAGAGGCATCGTGAGTGATCATGTTTCACACTGCAGTCCGAGATGAAACCCACAGAGCTGAGGACTTCTGTCGAATAGATGGTCTTTAACTGACAACACTCCTCATTCTTTTGAAATCTTTTACGATCGGTTGAAAATTCTCATAAAAACCACAACGCAACCCCGTCCATTCTCTTACGCTGTGTCCGTGGTTGGGTTGTGGAGGTAACAGGTGCAGGTAGGAAACTCGAGGCATCCCTCTCCACAGGGACTCCTCTCCAGCTCCTCCTGGGAGATCCCGAGGAAGACCCAAGCCAGAGAGGATGAACAGGCCCTCTGGGTCTATATCTATTAAATATGGCTACTAATTACTTTTTGAATAACCTCTAATTAAACAAAACAGAACTTCCACAATAGGCTTTGGTGTCAGCTCGATTCAAAATACCCGCTACATTTAATCGACCTTAGCAAACACAAAAATGGGCACAGCTTGGTCAGTTTTATAGACGATAGACCAACATTAGGTGTGGTAGTAGCTTACAGTCATCCCCAGAACACACTCTGAGAACTAACGGATCGCACACGCTCTTTGCCTGAACGTTTGGCACAAGGCAGAGAGTGATATGCATGAATGGAAAATGGTACGTTTGTATTCTATACGTTACTTTTTAGGTGTTGGATTAAAAAATGTCCAACAGCCACGAACTAAACTGATTACGTCACGCAAACATTTTATTACAACTGATAAAACACGTGCACTGGTTATTTTTTTAATGTTCTCTCTTGGGCAACAGTCCAACTTAAAGCTACTCATGAAGACCAGTAGAAAAATAATTAAGATAAAAAACACAACTCAAACAATATTGTTGCTCATACTGCTGTGTGTTAAATAAGATGTGGACCAGCTGGCAGAGACTCTGATTGTTGACCTACAGCACAAGTGACTGAAAAGGTCAACAACGGTGACGTCCATCGAAGACGAAGAGCCGTCTGGGATGGAGACGTCAGAACATTTTAAAGTATTTGTACACGTTGTGCTCAGATCTGTGAGGTAAAAGTACTTTTTACACGACTGCGTTTACGGTTGCGTTTCGGTCGTTCGTGTACACGACGACTGCGGTTGTTTTCTCTGACACCAAAGATTTTTCGAGCCAAGTTCCAGAGGTTTTGGAAACGCCTGGCACCGTTTCAGACCCATACTGCAGCTAACAGTTTGTCTGTGCGAGGAGATGATTGAACGAACGGTGGTGGACAGCAGAAGCTGACTGTGTTGATCAACGTGTAGGGGGCCGGGGCACCCAACCTCCTCCTCAGTCCAAACGAACGCTCGTTTATTCACCACTGTGGGTGTAACCTCTAACTTTATCTCCCAGTTGTTCAACCTGTGCTGTACCTCTGATGATCTCATTACTAATCTTCTCCATCCTTGTCTCTCCTAAGGAGAACCTCAACATCTTCATTTTTTCACTTCCAGTTCTGTCTCCAGACCATACAACAGAGCTGGTCTCACCACTGTCTTGTAAACTTTTCTCCATCACTCCATCCTGCCTGGACTCTCTTCTTCTCCTCTTCACCACACTCCCCATGTTCCTGGACAGTGGACCCCAAGTCCTTGTAGTCCTGCACCTTTGTGACCTCTGCTCCTTGTAGCCTCACTGTTCCACCTCCTCCCTCTCATTCACACACATGGACTCCGTCTTTCTACGGCTGACTTTCATTCCTCTTCTCCACCTCAACCTCTCCAAGTTCTCTTCCACCTGTTCCCTGTCCTCACAGATCATGACGTCATCTGCAAACACTAGCGATTCAATCAGTGTTTACTAAAGTTTATCAGATTTTGGTCAAAACGGAGGTCGAAACTTTCAAAAAGTTAAACTGGTGGAGCTTCTTCTACCAAACTTATAGTTTAAGGAGCGGGAGCTCCAGGAACATCTGCTGTCACGCACCTTGGAGATGATGAGCGGCTCTCCGTGCTCCAGGCCCCCCTGCAGAGTGAAGCCCCAGGGTGCTCCTCCCTGCAGCCGGGCCTCCACCAGCACCCAGCCGCCTCCTCCTGCACCTCCCCCGGCCGCCGGCTGGAGCCCTGCCCGGCCTCGGCTCTCCATGGCCGGACACTCCGGGCTGCTCCTCCTCGGCCCCAAACCAAGTCAACAAATCCTCCACGAGCGCATTTCCTCCATTCATTAAAACTCCTCTGGGGGAGAGAACGACACAGGAGGGGGTTCAGGGGGTCCAGAGTTCCTCCCGAAGCTCCGGAGTTTGAGCTCCAACAAGAACCAGAGACCCGAACCAGGAGCGGAAAAGTTTGTGGGCTCGAACGGGTTCAGGTCTGGAACAGAAACCCACAGCCTCCTCCTCCTCCTCTCTCCTGAAAATCAGTTTAGCATCACAAAAGGATTTTCTGCGACTCACCGAGCAAAGAGAAAAGAGCAGGAGGAGGAGGAGCAGGGGGAGGAAGACCGGGGGAGGTAAGGTTCATGGGGGAGGAGGAGGGAGGGAAAGAAGTAAAATGCTGAAAAGTTGTAAATAAAAAGAGTTTGGACTGAAAGTTGTTTCCTTTGTGTTTGTTGACGAGGAGTAATCCGATCCACAGTGTTCACACCAGAACCGGATTACTGCACAGAACCGAATCTGGATCCAGTCGTTCCACATGTGATCCATCCAGTCGGTGCTGCAGGTTCAGAAACAGGAACAAGAACTGTCCTCCTGCTACATGTAGCCTGTAGTCCTCATCTGCTCACACTCACTCATGTTCGTGCTGCTGTTGTTTTTGTACCATTAGTGCTCAGGGTCTTCTTAGTCCCGTCTTCTTAGTCCTGTCTTCTTAGTCCATGTCTTCTTAGTCCGCATCTTCTTAGTCCATGTCTTCTTAGTCCGTGTCTTCTTAGTCCTGTCTTCTTAGTCCGTGTCTTCTTAGTCCGTGTCTTCTTAGTCCGTGTCTTCTTAGTCCGTGTCTTCTTAGTCCGCGTCTTCTTAGTCCGTGTCTTCTTAGTCCGTGTCTTCTTAGTTTAGTGAATGTAGTACATAGTTCATGACTCAGATCTTACTAATGTTTTTCTTTACAATTTGTGTTTTTGTTGGATGTAACTGGGACCAGGTGTACTGCTGGTGAAGATTCTCAGTCATCCAGGACATGATGAATTCTTTTGCTACTTTGTGGCCTTTACCTACTTTATGGGACCTTTACCTACTTTGTGTAGGGTTTAGCTACTTTGTGTAGGGTTTAGCTACTTTGTGTGGTCTTTACCTACTTTGTGTAGCCTTTAGCTACTTTGTGAAGACTACTTTGTGTGGCCGCTACTTAATGTAGCCTTTTGCTACTTTATGTGGCCTTTACCTACTGTAATTGTTTGCTACTTTGTGCAGGCTTGAGCTACTTTATGTAACCTTTTGCTACTTAATGCAGACTTTTGCTACTTAGCCTTTTTGCTACTTTTAGCTTCTAGCTAGCTAGCTTTTTGTTAGTTTTAGTTTCTAGCTAGGTTATGCAACTTTTGGATTTTAGCTAGTTTTTGTTACTTTTAGCTTCTAGCTAGACATTTATTTTAGCTTCTAGCTAGACATTTATTTTAGCTTCTAGCTAGACATTTGAGATTTTTACAGTCTTATTTAACTTCTAGTTTTTGCAGCTTCTAGCTTCTAACTAGCCTTTTCCTACTTTAGCCATTTTAAAGTTGTGCTGTGCTTCTTTATTTAAACAGCTTAGTCCCACGGAGCCACGAGGACTCGTTTACAAGAGAGACCTGATTTTAACAAAGAGTGAAGACAACAATGGACGACAACAATAGACGATCACAAATGATGCATTTTTTGTACAATTGAAAACTAAATAATTAAAAATAAATGTAGCAAAAAAACAGCTAGATTACGAGGATTATTAGCTATCCTTTTGACACTTTGTTATTTTACTGATTTTGTTTAACTAGACTTTTATTACTTTTAGTGTCTAACTTGCCTTTTCCCATCGTTTCCTTTTACCTTTTACAGTTAACATTTGATAACTTGGGTTTTAACTAGTCCTTTGCTATTGATAAAGCTACAATTTACTAGTAGCACGTTTAGCTCATTTTTGCTAGCTATGTGCCACTGTTAGCTAGCATTTTGCTACTAATGACTTTTCGATCAAATGAGCCAAGCTTCCACGTGGTTCGGTTCAGCCGAGCGCTTCGTTCACGACGAGCAAGTGGACCGGTGAGGCTACAAGGTCACGGAGGTGCAGGACTTCAAGGACTCGGGTCAACTGTCCAGGAAAACAGGAAGTGGGGTAAACAGGTGGAGCATATCCAGGCAGTTGTTTACATCGAGTGCGTACCCACGTTTCAGAACCGCACGTCAATATTTCTGGAGAACTACCGGAGTTATTCAAAGAGCATCGTTTGATAAAGTCCAGGGTCAGATTTGATCAATGTGCGTCATGAGAGCTCAGTTGGTTAACGGCTCCAAACCTCGGACTTAAAGATCTAAATAATCATCGAGTTTTAAAAGGTAATTTGATGTTTTCAGAGAAAACCGCAGCGAAGGCCGAGGTCAGGCTCCCATCTAGTGGACAGAAAAGTGCATTTCGACTAATCTGAGCAGTGAAGTTCATAAATAAGAGTTATGCGTCATCATTGTATGGTCCCATACGGTGAAACTGGCACTCAGCATTTAACCCATCACACCTGAGATGCACCCAGGTGGAGCAGTGGGCAGCTATGTAGGCACCCGGGGAGCAGTTGGGGATTGGGTACCTTGCTCAGAGACACCACGACGTGGGAATGGCTGGGGATTGAACCTGGGGCTTGCGGGTCCTGGGTCGGCTGCCGCTGCCCCAAATAAAAATGATAAACGTGTGATCACGTGATTTATATAAAACAAATATTTTAAAATGTTTAAGCCAAAACAGTACTTTAGGCAAAAACAGTACTTATTTAGAAAATAAAAAGATAAAACATCAACAAAACATATATTTATACATTGATCTATATTTGTTCAATAATGAGTTTATTTGATAAGGCACTCGGTTAACTCAGAAAAAAATATGTGCAAATGACAAAAATACTGTAGTTTCTGTATAAAAAGTGCGTTTCAACACGTTTACTAAAACATAAATAGTTCCAGATCAGTTATAGATTTACAAAAATATATTGTTTACATTTGAGAACACGAGTTGTTGTTTATTAACTAGTAAATAAACATTTTCAGACTGATTTAAACAATACTTAATATTCCTTCCATTAAAGCACGTCGTAGATTATATATAAAACGAACAGTTAAAGTTTTATTCTTAATATAAAGAAAACAGAAGAACAGGAGGACAGTGACGGTTTAACTCGCTAAAAGACAAAAACACCTTTAATATATGAACCAAATAAGAAGTGCAAAGTGTGTTAGCAAAAAATGTGGAGACTAATCAAGTTAGTGACATCATCAAACTAAAGCTGGATTTATTCTCCACGAGAAGTAAAGAAGTCTGTTCTTGCTGACGGGGCTGCGAGACAAAAATTGCGTCTTTTATTTCTCGCCCCGCCCCCAAGAACGCGTTGTGTGCACAAGCTGCTCGCAGAATCTTTTTCTCGCAGGCTCCAAGTATCGTGCGACAGGTCAGAACATTGTTGGCGTGTTCGTGCGGTTTACGCTGCTCTCATTTCACTTCGACTGAGGAGCCGCTGACCGAGGCTGTTAGAAGAAAAAAAACATCTGTTCTAGCAAAACTTATAAAGCAGTTTCCAGAACAGAGCGCCCTGCCTACCGAACTGCCCTCTCCCACCCCCATCCCCCTTCCGACAACTACCGGCACCGACGTAGCGCTAAGCTAAGCTAACGGCGCACAACCTGCCAAGGCAAGAAAACGAGGAGAAACACGGTCCAGGAAGTCAGAGGAGCTGTGCACGATATGACGGATGGATTTTCCAACAGCCTCGTCCAGCAGCTCTTCAGCCACTTCAGTAGCAAACACGCCCTCAAAAGTTCTGACCAACCACAACTGTCGGCACACGTCCCGAAAGAAGCTACGCCCCCGTAAGAAGCTACGTCCCGTAAGAAGCTACGCCCCGAAAGAAGCTACGCCCCGAAAGAAGCTACGCCCCGTAAGAAGCTACGCCCCGAAAGAAGCTACGCCCCGAAAGAAGCTACGCCCCGAAAGAAGCTACGCCCCGAAAGAAGCTACGCCCCGTAAGAAGCTACGCCCCGAAAGAAGCTACGCCCCGAAAGAAGCTACGCC